TAAAAAACTTGAAAGTGCTAAAACCCAAAAGAACAAAACGTCGAAAATAATTATTTTTTTAAAAGAAAAAAAATTTTAATCAATGTAATCATTACGAAACGAAGTAATTTATTCTTTAATTGCGACGCATTACAGTAGATGGTTACGTAAAATTTTAGCCGCCACGATCAATGATGTAATTGTTTCGTCAATGGAAAATGATAATTGTATTCGTCCAATGGGAAGTGGTGGGGGAAATTAGTAAACCCGCAATTTTAATGAGAACTAGACACATTGGAGAACTAATGGTCATCAAATGATTCTGATTGGCGCATTATACACCTGTTATCAAATTCTGAACTTTGATTGCTGTTTATAATTTGTTTGTTGATTTACGTATCTGATCAATTGTTTTGTTTTGAAAATGATTTATATACGAAATTATTTGATTTATGAAAATAATATTAAACAAGACAAACATCTGTACTGAAAAAATATTCAACTTTACAAGTCTTCAGGCAACTCAACAGAAAGTGGAAGACTCATATTCTAAAAAGAAGGAGTTATAATAATGTAGATGCCTACAGAATTCAGGGCAAAATCTATCTTATATTTTTCGCCGCTTGTCCCTCGAAGAGGACCAAGCGGCGGACCTGGCCGCTGCTTTTCGAGAACGGTAATTATTTTGCTTTTATATAGCCTTTCATTAACTTCTTTATATTCGTTTTAATTACTAATTCTTTTTCGTATCATCATTCGAAATAACAAAAGACCCGAACAAATATATGAAAAAAAATTAAATAAAAAACAAAAAAGAAGAAAACCCGATCCCGATCCCGATCCAAAGGAGAGGAAAGAGTTTGAAAAGGCAGTCCGGGAATCAGGTCATGTAGTATATGAAGACTATGATGACCTGGTTCTCGGAAGAGGACAAGTGGGGCCATACCATCGAAAAGTATGTGATCTTTTTTTTATTTGTTATATTGTGTACTCAAATTATTATTATTATTTTTTTTATTTACAATATTATTTATCATATTCACAAAGCATTCCTTTTCGTAACGAAGGTGGTAAATTGTTGGAAAAGTTCCTTCGCAAAAACGCCCCGAGGATGTTGATTTTATTCAAAAACTTAATTCCGAATATGAAAAACTTTAAATTTTTTTTTTTTATATATACATTATAGATATATTTTTTTTTATTTATTGTTATTTTTTTTTTAAATATACTCAAAGGGTCACAAGATGCTAACATCCACGTGGTGTGATCTGGATAATAAATAACTAATAGCATCAACCATAATTTATCAATTTGTGAATTAGAAAGTGCTGATTTCCAGTTCCTAACAATTGCGTTTTACGATTAAATATATGGTTATATATATATATGATTACGGTTAAATGGTCAAACGATTATACGATTATTAATAGTGATTAACTGCTAGCATAATTTTTCGCGGCCCCAATCCCGATGTTCTGATATAAAAATGAACTACTTGTCACAGCTTTGGTATGTTAGATTACATTTATTTAGTTTTTCGGCATAGAATAAAATAAAAACTCTCAAATAAGATAACATAAGCGGATGGTAATGATAATTTATAATAAGCTCCGGATACAGAATGCTACGCATTAACCTAGTTTTTATTTAAAAATTGGGCATCTTTTTAGGATTTATTGTGATTGGTTAATTTTTGTATGAACATACAATAATTACTATATAATAGTGTTGTGTTGTTATTAACCTTAACTAGCCTTTGCCTTGATGTCATATTTTTTCTAAGTAGCGGTAGCTTTTTAGTTCCTGGAATTCCAAGTTTGAACTCATCGAAGCTAGGGCGACATTAAGCATTACCAGCTACAGTAATTATGTGCTCTATAGCCAAATTATCATATACGACAAAGTGGGTTGGAATAGAGATGTTGAAATTAATTTCAGTTTCACCAATTCAACGCCAATTTCCACCAATAGGTAAATTATTTCATCACTATAATTTCATTCTACCACCATCTTTAATTGGAAATAAAGGAAAGAGATTCATTATATGTAAATACATTTTTTAAGAGGTTAAATTGCTTTTATATATTTGTATTACTAAGAATCCGACCCCACCGAAGGCTTTCGTGTTGTCATGTTAACTTAAACACAATAATTACCGCATTAGCGCCAGTTAGTAAACAGATTTCGTATAATTTACGTCATGTCAAATATATTAGGTATCATATGATAAAATTAAATTGTTTTAGATTTAGAGGACAAATATATAACGAACTAGAAGGAACAAAAGTTTTTTCACTATAAGACTGTAAGAACAGCCATCGTTTAATTAGACTAGACAATATAAACATGATATATAAATGACACACTTGTATACGCTCGTGCGACATAAAATATCTAATTCAAGATATTCACTATAAAACTATCGGCTTATTTTTTTGCATATAAATTTTAGTGTATAGTTTAAAATTGATGTTTTTCGAAATCGAACCGAATCCATGGGCTACTCTATGGCTAACGTTTTAGCATTTGCTAATTCTGTAATTTCTCACTAGTCACAGACACATCACATGCTCCGATTAGAGAACTATAGAGATGGAGGCATTAGATATTTATGGTTCATTAAATTTAATGTGAAATTTAGTACCTGCACATACCTGATACGTACGTAACTAATTTAAAAGAACCAATTCTGCAATTTGTGACTATGTATACTAGGCATATCTAGGATCAGGCGTGCATCTAAAGAGTGTGTACACCTAAGGATATATAATATAAATTTATATACAACTAATTCTGCAATTTGATTTCGTATCTTTATTATTACTATAACAGCACCGTGAATGTTTTTTTTTAATCAGCCGTCTAATTAGCAAGTTCCAATTAGCTTATCCTTGATGACATATGGCAAGATTATTTTGGATTCATTTCAATAACAAACTTCAATAACAAACTGCCGTGAGGGTCAGGTATATGCGTGCACTTAGAGAATGTTCGCATGATCAGAATGCAATCTCTAATCGGAAAATCTACGGACAATGCTTAGGGACAGTGCAGCTAGGGTATTGATTTTAGTAGTATCACGTGAATTTGCCCTGTTCACAAGAACTGTCCGTAGTCTGTAAGCAAGTGTCATATGCACGCATTTATAGAGGACTCTGAATCACTTGCACACGTATAATATGGAAGGCGTGCACTTAGCTCTAAGTTCAGGTTTGGGACCAGGTGATGGCATGAATATAGAATACATATGTTCTTTATTAAATTAAGCTTCATCAAATTAATAGAATGTGTAGATAAACTGGATGAATATAAACTGTAGTAGAATCAGGATAACAGAATAAATATTTATTTATAATCAAACTTCTAGTGTAAAATTCACACGGTTCTTCGATCTGAGGTTACCCGTACAATACATCCAACACCCGCGACTTCAGTAAGCTACAAAAAAAACGATATATCATGAGCAATCATTGATACTATCTAAAAAATTAATTTCAAAATTGACCTACCTTTTCATGCCAATTTAAAAGTACGGCTGAACTATATAATTCTGGTGATGCCATTCCGCGATAAATATATTTCATCAAAACATCTTGTTGTTCTAATGTTAGATTTTTAACTATTGATGGAATATCAGCTGCTTTAACAGAGTTAAGAACATCCATAACAATTTTTGTATTTTGATCCTACCAAAAGTATTGTTTAGAATTAGCATAACCCTTTTTTTTTTTTTTCTCTCTGATTTATCAGTGAATTCTAACCTTAGCTTCAGTTGTGTTTGAGCCGTATGGTGGATTTTCTATAGCTGTTGTCAGTGCATTTTCGGTATTACCTCTATAGACCGAAAAAAAAACTGTCATATATTAAAAACATTCATTTTTATTACATTGTTAAATTTCAAAGTACACCATTGAAACCCTCAAGTAATTTGAATACCTTGTCAAAAAGTTTCTAACGTCAACTCCTTTCGCCTGAACATTTCTTAGCGCCACATCCGGCTCAAGCTCTTCACCGCCTGCGAACGTAAATAGTTCATGCTGAAATAACTGGTCTTCATCTAAGATATCAACATCAGTGTTACGATAAGACATTCTTATATCGCAAATGTCTTTGGAAGAGAGATTAGAAACTTTATGTGATTGGATGGACTAAATGCTCTCACGTGAACATATCCTGGAAAATTATTTGATTTGCATAGAGAAGTTGTATTAAAATCTAAAATCTCGTTGATTGGCTGCCGCAAGTGGCTTATCTTTAGTGAACACACATATCGGGGCCTTTTCGATAAGAATTGTTAAATTTTTGATGGACCCATTAGTTGAAAACTTGTTGAAAACTTCTCTGGATGACGAAGATCCAACAAGGTCACCGCATCTTTCAGACCATTCAGACATTTCCGATGACGATTCTTCCAAGATAGATAACGACTTTGATGATTCTTCTAAAGTAAATAACTTTTGATTTATTTTTTATTTATTTATTTATATTTTTAACGAAATTTTTAAACCCATTCTACTAGTCTTTCTCCTTGTTGCAACATGGTGGTCGACAAACAGGTCCAAAAGGAGTTTTGGCTGATCATGAATATCATAAACAATATACAAAACAACAAAAGGCTGCTTCAATAGCTGCATATAATGAACGCATGTCGTCAAAAGCTTTAACAACTACAACATATCGTGAAGATGAATTAAATAAATCACTAGAGGAAGATTTAAAAGATTTAGAAAATATTAGTTCTGATGAAGAAGAAAAAGAAGCACTAAAAAAGTACCGAGAGCAAAGATTAAGAGAAATTAAGGAAAATCAAAAGTTAAATAGAAAAAGATATGGAGCTCTAAGAGAAATATCTTCAAATCAATATGTTAAGGCTATAGACGATGAGGCACCGGACGTTTGTGTAATCATACATTTATATGAAAATGTATGCTTCTTTTTTTTTTTTTTGACGTTTCTTTAAATTTCGCAAACGTAATTAACTTGGTTCTATTTCAACAAAAGTCGATTCCCCAATGTAAACTCTTAAATGAATGTTTGACTCGTCTAGCTAGAAAATTTGTCCATTCAAAATTCCTACGAATTCTGGCTCATGATTTAGATTTTGATCCAATTGGTCTTCCAGCTTTATTAGTTTATAAAAATGGAAAACTAATTGCAAACCTAGTCAAGATTACTGACGAAATTGGTGAAGTTAATTTTAATTCTGATAATATTGAAGAAATTTTATTAAGGTTTGTTTTTATTAAAATTATTGTTTAGAGAAGTTCTCCAGTAACTTATATTGAAATTTCTCTTCAGGCATGGTGCATTGAATGTAACTGAAAGTATCGGCGAATAAGGTATGGTTTGTTATTAGGAATGGAGGGTGTTATTTATCCTGTGTTATATACCGGAATATACCATAACACATTACAAAAACATTGATATGACAATAATGTTGTTGGACTAACATCCAACTTAATAAATTGATATATTTTGTATATACCGGTATATGACATACTATTACCAATAACTGCTTTTTGATTCTGGTAACGGTAAGTCTAAATGATAATATATTATCTTTTACCTTAATTTAATTTAATATTTACGAGATTGAAATTTTACGTAAAGAGATTTGTGTCGATATAATATCATATGCGGTTAATGTATTATTAGTTTGTCATTATTTAATTTGATTTATTTCATGATTTATAAATTCTTTGATGCGTTAATATTAAGTATTATCAAGTTGTTTATTCATTGTTGTAATGTCGTAGTAGAAATTTTAATTTAATTGTATATCTTGAACTAATTTGGTACTGACATCTGCCTGACACACGTGCCTGAAATCCAAGGATTTCTACGGTGATTAAACCCTAATTCTGCAGTTATCGTTCTGCAATATGTACTGTAAAGATATATTTCGCACAAAAATTTGTTTCTTAAAAATATATATATATATATATATATATATTTAAATAAAATAAAGTTATATTTTAAACTTCACTAGTTTTTGGTTTTTTTAATTGTTATAATATAATATATATATATATATATATTTTATTTTGAGATAAATATATAACTAAACTATAGATTTGTCGGCTGAAGTTGGAAATTAAAACTTCGATTTAAATATAAGCCCTCACTTAGACTTATTTATTATTAAAACTAACCTAAATTTCTAACCTATTAAAAAATGTTATCCCAAAAAATTTTGAAAATTTCATCCTCAGCCGCGACATCACTGTAAATTATATGTCGTTAATACGTATATTGTTATTTGTTAAATACGTAGTATGCAGTGTTATATTTTAAATTTCTAATATGCTAAGCAACTTAAAGTATAAAATCAATTATATATCGTAATATACTAAGCAACTTAAAGTACAAAATCAATTATATATCGTAATAAAACTTTAGTTTATGTAATTGTATAAGATATATACGTAAATGATACAGTATACGTGCTTCTAGCTTGCTATACGTATAATATAATACTTATCAGGTATCTGATATTACTTTTAAATTTTTAGGTTTATTTACAAAATTATTAAAATTCCAGATAGCAAATTAAAAGAAATATTAACGTTAAAAGATATATATATACATATTGTTATAAAAATTACGCTTTAAGTACAAAAATTTTAAGTACGTATAAATATCCATTGTTTTTGTTAATATACATACTGTAATAGGTAATAAAATGACGAATGCATACATGCAAAATTACCCATCGGTTGTACAGCTGAGTGATGATGAAAAATCAATCGTCAATTGGAGGATTACGATGACGTTTTTCATTCAAATTCATCAGGAATCATATTTCTTGGCTCCCAACTTAAACTGAAATAGTCGCAGATACACTCGGCTAATTTTTGATTTTCATCACCTAATCTCACGTTATTAACATCTGTGAGGCTCGAGAAATAAAGCTGAGACAGAAAGAAGTTTTAAAAAAAACTTAAGATGGCACCACAGCCTCTCGTAAATCGTATTGGTACACTTGTTCAGGTACGTTCAGTCTTGGCTGCGTTCAAGTTATTACGCGAGCGGTTATGCTATCGTTTGTGGTCGCACAAGGTCATGGCTATTCTCACCTCTTTACTTCTTTACTTTTTTACTTCAGCACCCTCAATTCACTTGGTGGTGCGGTCATTGTATCGTATTTTTTTGTTTCATTATTCATTTATTCTACTGGATCACTTTTCGTGCTAGTGAAGGTGCAAGCTTTTATTACACTGCCTATTTGGGTGCCATGTTGAGTTATGGTGTCGTGATTTATAAATCATTTGGTGTAAGTTTTCATTTCAAATATCCTACTGTCCTGTTTAGAACTACACGTATGATATTCCTCAACTCGATAATTTGGTGCTCATAATTTATAAAGTAATGTTTTGATCTTCTGTTTGGGGATAATTTTTCATTTTAACATGGAATGATTTCAATCTACTATTTACTTTGGATAAAACTGCTTGATTAGTCTTTTATTTTATAGTAGATCTTGTTAAAACATTATTGATTTTAGTAATTGTGTTAACTATATTCTGACTATATTCTGACTTTAAAATCAATAACAGACACCAGCACCAACCTGGGAATACTTTCAAAAGATTAACAGAGACGAAAATGTATTTTATCTTGTGCTGGCATGCGTATGGTTTATGAATGCGCAAGTATTTGGTATGTAGATGTGTCCTTTGACTTTTATAATTAATACGTGGTGTAACGCTATGATTACCTCATTTAACATTCCAGTAATTTTTAAATTATATCTTCTTATTCCTTTGATTATGTAGTTACACTTTTACCTTATGCCACTTTTTCATTGTTTCATTTGATTACATATATACGGCAAAATATTATCCCAACATGTTTCCCATCGACAATTCATGGCCCTTCTTCTTCTTCTTCTTCTTCTTCACATTCATCACCTACTTCTTCTTATGAACAATACGCAGCAAATGCTTCAAGATTCATTCAAAGTTGGGTTCATAAAAATTACGACAAAGCAATGAGAACTGTTAGTTTTGTTGAGGTTGTTTTGATTACTAACGTGTTAATTTGGAATGTTTTAACGTATGTACTTTTTTTTTTCTGATCTTGCTATAAGTATTCATTTTACGATGCTTAAATATATTTATCCATTTATCAGTTTTCATCTAAGGTTTTTCACATTATTTGTGTATTTCATATTTCTTCGTATGCGATATCATATGAATTCATATACGCAGCAAGCGTTTTCGGATGTAGCTCGATTTTTAGATGGGATGCTATTACCTTCAGCAAATAACAGTATTCATCCTTACATCGCAAATTTGTATCGACAGGCCAAATCTGCAGTTATTTGGGCTGGTCAATTTCAGCCACAATCTGGCCGGCAGACTTCAAATTCACAATCCGGTCGTTTTCAGTCGCGAGCAAACACGCACTAAAGCTTACGCGACTAATAATGAAAAAAAATTTTGACTAAAGCTAATTTTTAGCTTAACTGGTCGATTTTTTTTTTCCAAAATCGGCAGATTGATTTCTTATAATAATAATTCTCGCATAAGCTTTTGACCATTAAAAAAAAATGTTGTTTTTTGTATATTTATTGAGTCATACTTGTAATATCAAATATACTTTATATCATTAGAGATGTAGTGCGTAAGTGATGTACTCAAATGGGTAGTTATTTTTTGTATATGGACTGAAATAAATAATACCGTTTTAAGATGTATATTATTTACGTGACTAGAGCGCCGAGTAGGCTATTTCAGGCCCAGTTTAATTATTCAATACCAGTATATTTTATATTTTAAATTGAGGTTTTAAATTTCAACATTAGTTAACTTTTTTAACCATGATTATTTAAATTATTATTGTTTTGATTTATAATAAATTGAGGCCAAAAAAGCTTATTATTTTTGCAATTTTATTGATTTTATTTAAAATTTTTTGATAATTGTTTCAAAAAAAAAAAAGTGTTGATTTATTTTTATTTTATTTTTATTATTTTTTGATATTAAAATAATCTCTTGAGTCATGATTTTTTATATTTGTATAATTACAATAAGAGTACAACTAGTTATATATACTATTTTTTGATTGTCTATTTAAATATAGTTGATATTGTTTAAATGCATACTGTTTAATTGTCTAATTGCATATACTGTCTAATTGTATACAATTCCTGTCTACCAACTTATTTATTAACAATAAATTTATAGTATATAATATATAAAAATAATTAAATATATATTTAGAAAAATAATAAAAATTTTAATTTTATTAAATTAATATATTTTGTAATTTTAATGCTTTTTTTTTTAAGGTAAGGTCTTGCTTTATGTCTTTATTAAGCATTATTGTATATATTATATGATACATTATGCTATTATAAAACATTAGCTCAGACTATTTATCTGTGACTTAAACCCACCAGAGCAGTATATATTTCACTTATGCATTTATCTGGATTTTTTATACTACTACTTCTTCTATCTAAATCTTATCTTTTTATATTTGCCATATCACTTATATATCTAACTATATACTTTCAATTTTAATAAAAGTTGTAAAAAAGATTTTACAATTCTAATAGTAATTAAATTATCAAAATTGAGTTAGTAGATTATAAAATAAAAGCAAAAAAAGCTCTAATTATATAAAATTTACAATAATTAGAAAACTTTGTTTAATTATATCTTATAATCTAGTAAGCCAATTTTGATGATTTAATTATTACTAAAATTATAAAAATCTTTTTTACTGCTTTAATTAAAACTACAAAATAAGTTAATATTTGTCTAAAAATAAGCTACTTTTTTTGGCCAAAAAATTATACAAAAAATTATAAAGTAGTTTATTTTTAAATATAATTAATTTTTGTTGTTTTTTATTAATTGCAAGTAGTTTCTATAATGCAGGATATTTAGTTATATCAAAGCACTGAAATTTAATATATATATATGATTATATATAAAGCATTGAAATTTTAAAATTAGTGCTAAATTTTAAATTTAGTATCAAATTTTAAAATTTAGTGCTAAGTTCTAAAATTTATATAATTGTTAGTAGTGCTAAAATTTTTTAAAAATAATAAATAAAAAAAAAATTAAAAAAAAAATTAAAAGTTTATTTTATAATATAAGTATTAATTGCTAAGATAGATAGTATTTCATATGTGCAAATTACTATTAAATTTATTATAATTATAAAATCTTCATTTTTCCTCATAGCTAACTATTTTTTTTTATTAATTGATGATTCTCTAGTCAACTGATGTGTGATCTTAGTAAAAAGTGACTCAGATTACTATATAAATTTACTATG